GTACTCACTCATATATGAATTTTAGACATAGAGCAAAAGATTACCACCCTACAATCCTCTTCACCAAAGAAACTAGAAAACATGAAGGGAAAAATGCATGGACCCCAGAGAATGGGAAGGGGCAGGAACTCCTGAGCTAATTGGGAGCATGAGGGTAGGGGAGAGGGAGCTGCCTTCATCTCTTTTGATTGATTTTTAGTTTAAAGTCCAATTTGCTGGACATTAGGATTGCTACCCCAGCTTATTTCTTGGGACCATTTGATTGGAAAATCTTTTCCCAACCCTTAATTCTTAGGTACTGTCTGTCTTTGAAGTTGAGGTATGTTTCTTGCATGCAGCAGAAGGGTGGATTCTGTCTTCTTATCCATTTTGCTAACCTGTGTATTTTTATAGGTGAGTTAAGACCATTAATATTGAGGGATATTAAAGACCATTGATTGTTCATTCTTGTTTGTTTTGGATTTGGTGGTGGTGTTGAAATTATCTGTAGGTTTCCACCCCTTTTTTTCTTTGAGCTGTTAGTAAAGTGTGATTATCTATTGCCTATGTTTTTCTGGTTTTAGCTAATTTCCTTGAGTTTCAGTTTTCCTTCAAGAACTTTCTGTAGGGCTGGATTGGTGGATATGTATTGTCTGAATCTGGTTTTGTCAAAATATCTTGTTTTCTCCATTTATATTGATTGAAAGCTTTGCTGGGTATAGCAGTCTGGGCTGGCATCTGTGGTCTCTTAATGTAGGCAGAATATCTATCCAGGACCTTCTGGCTTTCAGAGTTTCCATGGAAAAGTCAGGTGTAATTCTGATAGGTTTGCCTTTATAACTTACTTGAACTTTTTCCTTTGATGCTGTAATATTTTCTCTTTATTCTATATGTTGGGGTTTTTATTATTATGTGTTGAGGAGACCTTTTTTGGTCCAGTCTATTTAGTGTTCTGTAGGCTTCTTGTACTTTCATTGGCATGTCTTTCTATGATTTTGTTGAATATGTTTTCTGGGCCTTTAAGTTGGACTTCTTCACCTTCTTCTTATACCTATTATTCTTAGGTTTGGTCTTTTCTTGGTATCCCATATTTCCTGGATATTTTGTGTTAGGGATTTGTTGGACTTAAGATTTTCTTTGGTTGATGAGTGTATTTCTCCTAGTGTATCTGCAACTCCTGAGAATCTCCCGTCCATCTCTTGTATTCTGTTGTTTATGGTTGCATCTGTAGTTCCTGAATGTTTACCCAGCTTTTATATATCCAGCATTCCCTCAGATTGTGTTTTCTTTATTGTCTCTATTTCAGTTTTTAGGTCTTGAACTGTTTCCTTGAAAACTCTTTCCTTGAAAGATTTGTTGCTATCTTGTATTTTTTGGTTTGTTTTTTTCTGCCATTTCTTTAAGTGATTTTCTGATATCCCCTTTGAGGCCCTCTATCATTTTCCTGAAGATGTTTTTAAGGTCATTCTCTTCTACTTCATCTGCATTGTGATGTTCAGGTCTTGCTGGTGTAGGGTCTCTAGACTCAGGTGGTGTCATATTTTTTTCTGTTGTTGAATGTGCTTTTATATTGACTTCTTCCCATCCTTTCTTCCAGTGGTTGTAGCAAGAGTCTCTTCCTTTCTTGGTGGGTATGGGACCAAGGTTCCCTTCTGGTAGATGCAAACAGTTCCAATACTCTGTTGTCTGTCCTCTTCTCGTGGATGGAGGCAGGACTGATACTGGGGCTTTGGCTGTCTCTGGGTGTGTTGGATCCCGCCAAGTTCAGATCTGGTGATCAGTCTCCTGACTTCAGGTGTTCCCTGGAACACCTCATTTTTGACAAAGAAGCTAAAGTTATACAATGGAATAAAGAAAGTATCTTCAACAAATTGTGCTGGCATAACTGGATGCTGGCATGTAGAAGACTGCAACTAGATCTGTGTCTATCGCCATGCACAAAACTCAAGTCCAAATGGATCAAAGACCTGAACATAAACCCAGCCACACTGAACTTACTAGAATATAAAGTAGTAAAGACTCTTGAGCGAATTGGTACAAGAGACCACTTCCTGAACATTACACCAGTAGCCTAGACACTGAGATCAACAATTAAGAGATGGCACCTCCTGAAACTGAGAAACTTCTGTAGGGCAAAAGACACAGTCAGCAAGACAAAATGACAGTCCACGGATTGGGACCCTCAGGATCTTTAGAGCTACTGTGAAAATGGACCAGAGACTTTAAACCACAACCAAAGAAAGAACATGGGTGGAGCTATGCATAGAATGGAAAGGTAATTGATGGAGACTGATAACACCTCCTCCTAAGAATGGAGCCATGGAATCGGTGTGACAGTTCCTCAGGAAAATGGGAATCAGTTTTCCTAAGATCTAGCTATACCACTCTTGGGCACATACCAGAAGATTTCCATTCTACTATAGTGACACTCACTCAACCATGTTCATTGCTGCTCTATTCAAAATAGTCAGAAATTCGAAGCAACACAAAACAGATAAATAAAATGTGGTACAATGGAGTATTACTCATCCCTTTAAAAATGTACACCATGTGATTTTTAGGCATATGGATGGAACTGGAAAAAAATCAACTTGATTGGGGTATCCCAGACTCAGAAAAACATGTATGGTATTGTTCAGCTATTGTTTCAGCCAGTTCTCACACTTTGAACTCTGATCTTTCCTTTAGCCCATCACACATGTAGTTGTCTAATCTGGGAGTGTGGCTGCAGCTGACAAAATCAATGCAGTGAGAGCTATAACTAAAACAGTTTTTAACTAATAATTTTATCAAGACACTTTTGATGACTCCATTCTTGCATTTGCAGGTCTGTTTTGACAGTGTGTTCCAGATATGACATCAAAATATCTTGAAAGACTAAGGAAAAAGACTTTGTTACTAACTCTAAGGGAGATCTGTTAATGTATGAAAACATTTTCATGTATTAATGCATGATAAAATCAGAACCATTGAGTGAACTTGGGGAAAATCTTCAGTGAGCATCAGTGTGAACTATGCTGAGTGAGGGGACCTTTTCAGCACTGGAACTTAATAAGTAATAAATGGAGGTACTTATGGTGGCACAAGTCTGTAATCCCAGAACTCGGGATGGTGAACCAGGAAGATCATGAATTTTAGGCCAGCTTAGCCTCCAAAATAAAATCCTGTCTCAAAAATAAATTAATGAAAATAAATACAGAAGGCAACAAATGAGACAGTTAAATGAGCAAAGAGACAAACTACAAAGGAGAGAAAATCTTGTGAGGTATTCATCTGACAGAGGATTGAACCATTAAACAATAAATCAACCAAAAATGAGCCATGGAACTGAGCAGAGAGCTCTCAAAAGAAGAAATACAAATAGCCAATACAAAGTGAACCATTGAACATTCTTAATCATCAGTGAAATGGCAGTTAAACCAGTTTGATACTTCATCTCTCCCATTAAGAATACCTATCATCAAGTAATCAAATTATAGCAAATGCTGGTGAAGATGTTGGGAAATAGGAAATCTTCTTTCACCCTTGGGGGAGCACAAACTGATGTAACAGCTATGGAAATCAGTGTGAAGCATTCTCAGAAATCTAAAAGAGGAAGTGTTGTAGGGTCCAGCTATGTAATTCTTAGATACGTATCTGAGGGACACTGTATCCTGCCTCAAAAACAATTGTTCAACCATGCTTATTGATGCTCTATTCACAATTTCTAGGAAATGTAGCCAGCCTAGATCTTCACCAATAAAATAACGGATAATGAGATTTTTGTGGAGATTTTATATTATATATTTGAAACACTCAAATGATACATGGTGAACAGGTCTAAGGAAACTGTGAGAGGCTGCAGGGGAAAAAGTGCATTTTGTTCACTGGACTGTTCTTGGACAAGATTCCTTGCCTCCTATGTGAAACATTTGCATTCTATTTGTAAGACATCTTATGTCAGATCATAGCTATAGAACACAATTTTCAGTGTACACTGAATATGGATATGCCTTCTGTCTTGCTCTCAATGTTTCCTACATATAATCTATAGTATGTGCCAGGAAATTGTGTTTAAATTGGTCTGTCCTCAGAAAGTTCTAGGAAAGGGCTGCTATGTTCCTATTTAATATATGCTTATTGGCATTTATTTACACGTTTTTCTGAACTCCAACAGCCTTCTTTGGATCATTGCTTTCCTTGTTACATTTGTGTATAAAAGTACACTCAAACTTATGTAAGGTTGTCTATAGTATTAACCTGCAGTCTGCCCAATTCTTTCAGGTCCTCATAAACCAAGTCCAACAGACAAGATCTGCACAGATCATCTAGAAAGTCAACAATATATACACATATATGAATATTATTCATCAGTAAAGAAAAATAAAATGATAGAATTTGCATAAAAATGGATGAGTTGAAAATACTTTAGTGAGCTATCACAACGTCAGAGACAAAGACATGTAAATCTTAGCTTGTAATGTTTATCTGTATGTAATGAACTACGAGTGTGTGTAGATGTCAAGAAGCTAGACAGCTGCTAACAAGAAGGAAACACAGCATTAAGAAGGATGATTGGAAGGTAACAGAGTACATGACCTGGAAGTGTAAGGGGGAAATCTGAGAGAAAAGAGATTTCCTTAAGAATGGGGAATAGGGAGATGGCGGAGGGGATAAGCCTGGGAAAGGTCAACCAAAAATAAATATGTATGAAATTGCTCTAGAGAAATGAGCTACTTCATAAACAAACTTTTCAAAATTATAAAACAAATACTCTTTTTATTGAAAGATTTTTTTAAAAAGCAAGCAAGTCAGAATGCTGTAGGGGTGATGGTGGTCTTTATGACATGGCATGAGGAGATTCTCATAGCCATGTGAATGTAGTCCAGCTCACCAAGATTGGCACATAGAGAGTGTGTAAATTGTTGTACAACCATCATCCAAAGAGAACCAATAGTGTGCCTTTCCCTTTAGGACTGGTTATTTTCCAAATGCCAATTACTTCCCCAATCAATCAAACCCTCTCTATTCTTGCTCTTCATTCACGTTGCATTTAGAAAAGAAACAGAGTTTCCACAGCCTGTGGTCTGTGCACTATCTAAGCCCTTGCTGGGGCCCAGTGGGTTTGTGTGCAGGCTGCAGGTGCCTGGGGAGCGCTGTGTGCTCACTGCACACAGGTAGACAGCTGAGTCACTGGGCTGGGAGTCTCTGATGTGCAGGGAAAGATGCAGGCTGGCTCTATTGAGACGAGCTGTGAATCTGCCTTCTTCATTTTTACCGTCAGTGAAGATGGACGTCAGAGCCTTGGGGCTTTTCCCAGGATGCTGTCTGTACCACCAGAAAGACTGTGAAGCCCTATCGCTGAAAGTGCAGTTGAGAGAGGCCGTGTCTCCTTCTGGGACACTGAGAGATCCCGGGGTCTGCTGCACCTTCTGCTGGCTGCTCACCCCTGTGCAGAAAGACAAAGGTCAGACAAACAGGATTGGATGCTTATGGATGCAGACACCCCAGAATGGTTCTTCCATGGGCCTCCCACGTGCTTTTGTTTCTGCATGAGAACATTAGTGTTTCTACCCTCCCTCCTGATATATGTGAGGGCAACACCCTCGAAAATTGTAGTTATATGTTCCCATAGAAATGGTCAAACTCACCCCTCAGTTGAAGCCAGAGCACCACTATGGAAACACTTAAGGGATGCATGATTGTTTTCACCGAAGATTCACACTTCAAACATAACAAAAGGACTGGCATTAGGGAGTTCAGATTCTTCTGCTGTAAAATGGATAAAAAAGAAAAACGCCAAACTGTTCATCCAATTAGAAAGAAGGTCCTAGTTTTCACTACCACATCAAAAGCCCTTTGTCTCCCTCTAACCACCCCCACAGCACACACAGACACAAAGGATCATGGGAGAAATAGCCTCTGGGTCTCTAAGAAGATACTGCCACCATGTGGATTCACATTAGTTTCAAAGAAATAATTTAAGCAAGAGTCTTCTTATGTAAATATTAAAACTAGAAATAGTTTAGTCAGATGATAAGTTTTAGAATTTGTTCAAGTTTATGTATGAGTATGCTTATGCATACATTTCTCACCAAATGGCACAAAGAAAATACAGAGAGAAGAAAAGAAGAAGAAGACGAAGATGAGGGGGAGGAGGAGAAGGAGGAGGTGGAGGAGGAGGAGGAGGAGGAGGGAAGAGAGAATGTGCACAAAGTAGGTAGCTAGAGAGGTGGGATGTATCTGGGAGGAGTTGAGGATGAATATGAATAAAATTGTATGAAGTCCTCAAAGAATTAATAAGCAATTTAAAATTGTTTTTACCATAAACTCAAAATTAAATGAAAATATCATGTATTCTTTCTTAAGGCTCACGGATCGAAGAGATCTTAATATCTAAGGACACAGCCTAGGGGAGGCTTTGCAGATGACTGCCCGTCTAAAAGACAGAGGAAGATTTATTAGAAAGTCTCCAGATCTTCCTTGTCTATGTCTCCGGAGCATCCTCTAGTGATTTAGTCATTGCTTTACCAATGTAGGCGTGAGTACCTATATATAATTATTCACACACACATATATATTTATTCAATTATACTTATTCAAATATATAAAATCTGTATATAATCTAGGGAATATGGAATATTCTTATCCTTCAGCCTGTTTATGTCACAGAAACTGGAAAGCGAAAAGAAAAGTGTGGGTGACAGGGCATGGAGCAGAAACAAAAGAAGCAGCAAGGAGGGAACCAATATTCTCTCAATTAGAGAAAAACAGGCTTGGGGATGCCAGGCAGACTAAGTAGGCCCAGATCAGATTGGTCCCAGTGACAGTAAGGCCCTCAGACACCAATATGGTCTCAGGCAGCTGACGAGACCCTGGGTATCCACACAGCTCTCAGCGGTAACTGGAGCCATGGACACTAACTCAGACCCTGGATGTTGCAGGTCACAGATCAAGACACAGCTCTAGGCAGCAGCTTAGGCCCAGATGGCACTACGGCCCCATGTGGCAGTTCAGGCCATCCAAAAGATTCTTTCCTTTTTATTCTGCAGGTGGACATCTAGTTTTATTTTCAAGATGCTGTCCTCCGTCCGGTGTGTATTTCTGCCTTCTTCTTTGAAAATCAAGTGATTTATTTGCATGCACTTAGGTCTGAGTCTTCTGGTCTGTCTACTCTGTTGATTTATATGTTTGTCTTCATGACAGTGACACAGTTTTCACTAGTATGCTTCTGTAGTAGGACTTAATTTTAGATATGACAGTCCCTCCATCATTGTTCTCTTGGCTCAGAATTCTTTTGACTATTTTAGGTCTTTTGGATATCTATATTACATTTAAAATTGTATTATGTTCTAGGAAGAATATCATGATGATTTTTGATTGGGGTTATATTGAATCTGTAATTACTTTTGGTAGAATAATTATTTTTATTTTTATTTTTTTCATTTTTTCTTTTTTGGTTTTTTCGATACAGGGTTTCTCTGTGTAGCTTTGGAGCCTATCCTGGCACTCACTCTGGAGACCAGGCTGGCCTCGAACTCACAGAGATCCACCTGCCTCTGCCTCCAGAGTGCTGGGATTAAAGGCGTGCGCCACCAACAACCGGCTCTTTTTTTTTTTTTTTGGTTTTTTTTTTTTTTGAGACAGGGTTTCTCTGTGTACCTTTGGAGCCTATCCATTATTTTTAGAAGAATAATTGCACAACCTATTAATGTGGGAGGTCTTTCCTAGTGTGTTCCTGGGTTACTTTCTCCACATTTTTCATTGTAGAGATCCTTCAGTTCCTTGTTCAGGTTTATTATTTATATTGCCCTCCCTTAATGATTTATTTTTAACATAGTTTTATTAGTTCTTTGAGAACTTCTTACATAATTCAATCATATTCATCTTCCCTCCCTCAACTTTTTCATGACCCACAACTCTTAGAGAAAACTGATTCTTCCTCACCAAGCTGGTGACAATGTCAATAACTTGGATAGGTGTGGGACTTCATGCCCATCTTGCCTCTCTTCCCTGGGATGAGGTCTGGCCTGGGGTTGCTCAGGTCTTGTGTGTACTGTCAGAACCTCTGTGAGTTCATGTGTGTGTGTTCCATATTGTGTTCTAAAGAAACTATTTCCTTTTAGTTATCTACTTCTCCTGGCTATTAGACTTTTTTCTTTTTCTTCCCCCTCTTCCACAGTAATCAGCAAGACCTGAGTGGGGGTAATACTCACACGTACATACATACGTACATATATCCAAATGGGTCTGAGCATTCTGCAGTCTGTTAATCTCTGTACTTAGCAAGTTGTTGGTCTCTGTGTTATTGCCCATCTACTGCAAAAACAAGTTTCTCTGATGGGGGATTGAAAGATTCATTAATTAATGGTAGTAGAATAAGCCATTTGTGTCTATGATCTTTCTAGACATAGTATCTTGGCACAAAAATGGTGCCAGGTATGGGATTCATCTCATTGAGCAGGACTTAAATAAGAAAGTGGTTCCTTACTACTAAGATGTTTGTGTTACTACTGTGTGCTGATATATTGTTTATGATCTAATAAATCTTGCTTAGAGCTCAGAACACAAAGCTGGCCACAGCCATGGAAACTGGATGGTGAAAGCATACACCTTTATTCTAGGACTCAGGAGACAAAGGCAAATGGATCTCTGTGAGTTCACCACCCAGGGCTACGTGAGATTGAAGCAGTCTAAAAGAGAAACAGAGCTCATGCCTTTAATCCCAGAACTAGAGAGTTATATATGAAAGGAGTAGGGTCTCAGATTCTGGAAATAAGTCTTCATCTACATTGAGGACAGGATTCCTCCCCCAGCCTTGGTAGAGGTAAGAGCTCTCTGTAGGCTTGGCTGCTTTGCTTTTCTGATCTACAGCTCGAACCCCAATGTCTGTCTCTGGGTTTTATTATTTGCACTATATTACTGAACAGTGGGCATGTCTTGCCAGGGCAGTCATTATTGTAGCTCCCAGGGTTGGGTTGGCAGTTGAATAAGATTAATGGTTTCTTTTCTACTCCAGCAGCATATGGTTTCATTTCTACTCCAGCACTATGAAAGCTGGCCAGTAGGGATGAAGTTTCCAGGTCAGTGCCATCTTATTTTGCCATGTTCTATGACTGAAGTTTGTGATGTGTTCAGCACTAGTTTTATTGTCAAGTTCTGGAAGGTAACCAAGAGCAATGGTTATTGTGTGTGATGTGTAGGGGACTTTGGGAACTCAATGAACAATAACTCCAAAAGGATAACCCATTCTTTGCACTGGGATTTTAATTTGTCAGCCTATGTTGTTTGTTAAAGGCATTATTACCCTCTTAAAGGGTAATTCATCTTAACTTTGTGTGAGTTTGTGTGTGTGTTTTCCTTTTATATTTTATTATTTTTTCCTTTTTAATTTAAAGTAAAAACAATCTTATTTTACATACCTATCCCAGTTCCCTCTCCCTCCCATCATCCCAAGTCCTCCACCAATCTCCCATCTCATCCCCTTTCCAGTCTCCATGGAGGGTGAGGCCTCTTATGAGGGACCTTCAAAGTCTGTCACATCATTTGGGGCTAAGGGTAGGCATTCCCCCATGTATCTAGGCTGATAGAGCATCCCTACATAGGGAATGGGATTCCAAAGTCCATGCACTAGGGGTAAATATTGGTTCCAATGCCAGAGGTACCATAGACTGTCCTGGTCTCCCAACTGAAACCCCATATTCATGGGACCTAGTTCAGTCCTATGCTGGTTCCTCAGCTGTCAGACTAGTGTCTGTGCACTCTCATTTGCCCAGGTTAGCTGTTTCCGTGGGTTTCCCCAGCATGGTATTAACCACTTTATTCATCACTCCTCCTTCTCTACAACTGGATTCCAGAAGTTCAGCTCAGTGTTTATCTATGGATCCTTGCTTCTGCTTCCATCAGCTACTGGGTGAAGTCTCTAGGATGGCATTTAAGGTAGACATCAATCTCCTTATAGAGGAAGGGCATTCAAGGTAGCCTCTCCACTACTGCTTAGATTCTTAGTTGGGGTCATCCTTGTGGATCCCTGGACATTTCCCTAGTGCCAGATTTCTCTTTAAACCTATAATGGCTCCCTTTATTCAAGTATCTCATTTCTTGTTCTCTTTCTCTATTTTTCCCTTGCCTCAATCTTCCTAATCCCTCATGTTCTCCTCTGCTCTTCCTCTTCCTCCTACCTCCCTCCCTACTCACCACCAAACCCCACCCCACCCCACGTGCTCCCAATTCACTCAGGAGATCTTGTCTCTTTCCTCTTCTCTGGGTATTGGTGTATATCTCTCTTAGGGTCCTCCTTACTTCCTAGCTTCTCTGGGGTTGTGAACTGTAGGTTGCTCTATGTCTAATATATACTTATGAGTAAGTATGTACCATGTTTTGCTTTTTGGGTCTGGGTAAGTTCATTTTAAATTTTTGTTAGGTGTGTATATAGGTATATTTTGGGGAATCTTCTACAGTAGTAGGTTTCCATGTAACTTTTCATTCTTTAGTGGTAATTCCCCTCACCCAGAAAACCCTCCTCCATCTTGCCTCCGCCCATTCTCCATTTAATCATTAATCCTTCCTGTTTCATAAATCTGTTTTTAACACTTTATACTGGTGCTTCTATCTCCCTTTCCTTGAAAGCAACCCCCCTAGCTCACCATGCCCCCTTAGTAATGCCCTGTCCCTTATGGGCATTCCAAACAAGACACACA